CCCTAATCAACTGAAATTGATGAGCTAAGGTAGGTCCTTGGTGTTGATTCAGAGGTCTCCTACAGACATAAGACCACACTCCTTTCTTCATGAGTTCATAAGCTTAAGTTCTTTCTCTAGAATCTACTGACCTTGTTGATGTGGGATTAACAGTGACAAAGTGATCAGAACAAGACCTTGCCTTTTCAAAGCCCTTTTCACTAGAAGCTTTGATAGCCCTCTTCATGAGAGGTTAATATCCCTGTGAGGAATGCAGCTTTTCGCAAAGGAAAATATTAAAACAAACTGGGTTCCAGCTTAAACTTTCTGGCCTTTGACGCTTATCTTTACGAAGAATGATTAAGCTGAATTTATGTCTTTAGGATTATACATAAATACATGTACGATACAGCATTTTACATGTACACATGCATATATATGTAAATATATTTTTTAAATGTTATGTAATAAACAAGCAAAGCATCTAAAAGGATAGATGCCAAACTATTAACAGAAGTTACCTTTGGGGAATGGGATTAAAAGTTTGGGGCAATATTTGTAATTTATACACTTTTTTATTATTTGAGATTTTTTTTTTTTTTTTGCAATATACATGTTCATCTTTTATAATAAAAAAAATTGTAAAATTATGGATAGAGGGTGAGCCCAAACCCTCTTAAGAGGGTAGGTTAAGAAAAATGACACAGCCCAATGAAGAAGATGGGGAAAGAAAAACAAAAGTCGTGAAGTCTTCTACTGTCACTGCTTCATCTTCCACTGCACTAGGAACTCTCAGAAAACAAACATGGAAGAATAAATCTATTAGCTTTAAAAGCTTTTTGTTTCAAAGCTTTCAGTTAGCTGGGCAGTTTGTCTCCCTTAATCTCCTGTCATTACTGCCCAATATGCTCCTTTACTCTAGTCAGGCCAAGCTGCTTCCTGTCATTAGTGTGACTGGCTGATTTTTACTTCTGTGCTTATGCCCAAACCCCTCTGCCATCTCTTTGCCAATCCATGTTTATCATCTCCTTCAAAAGCTCAATGAAACTTCTCTTCTTCAGGAGGTGTGGTGCAAACAGCATGATTCCTGGGGATGGAGAACTTGGCTTCAATGCTGGCTCTACCACTCACTGCCTGAGTGAGTTTGGGCAAGTTTATTAAACTCTCCGAACCTCAGTCTCCTCACCTATAGAATGAATAATACCCAACATGCAGTGTTTTGTATGGATTACACTACATAATTCAGGTAAAACACTTAGGTCAAATCTGAAAATAGTGACAGATGCAAATATGTACCATTCTTTCTTCATGCCATCCCTTCCTTCCACCTTGTAAATGGCAAATATCTATAATTAACCATAGAACTCTTCCTTACCCAGCTGTAATGTGGCATCAGAATCTGGTGTTAATGTAATTTTCTAGGCATCAATTGTCAGTCAGAACTGGTCTGTGGCATGAAACCTATCTGCCATCCTTATTGAAAACAAGTACAGATAGTTCCCAAATTACAATGGTTCTAACATTTTTTTCAACTTTACGATGGTGCAAAAGCATATGCATTCAGTAGAAACCGTACTTTGAATTTTGATTTTTTTTTTCTGGGCTAGCCATATGCTGTATAATACTCTGTCGTAATGCTGGGCAGTGGCAGTGAGCGACAGCCCCCAGTCAGCCAAACAATCATGAGGGTAAACAACTGATACACTTATAACTATTCTGTACTCAGACAGCCATTCTGTTTTTCACCTTTAGTATTCAACAAATTACATGAGATATTCAATACTTTATTATAAAATAGATAATGTGTTAGATGATTTTGCCCAAGTGTAGTCTAATGTAAGTGTTCTGAGCACGTTTAAGGTAGGCCAGGCTAAGCTATGATGTTTGGTAGGCTAGGTGTATTAAATGTATTTTCGACTTACAGTATTTTCAACTTACCATGGGTTTATCAGTATGTAACTCCATCATAAGCTGAGGAAGTTTTGTACTAAATGTTTGATGAATGAAGGAATGGCTCAATAAATGGTTGTTTCCTTCCCAGAAAACTCCATCCCAGCTAAAAGTTATTCCTTCACTTCATATTCTTTTATTTTTGGCCACACTGTGCATCATGTGGGATCTTAATTCCCCAACCAGAGATCGAACCCATGCCCTCTGCAGTTGAAGCGTGGACTCTTAACCACTGGACGGCCAGGGAAGTCCGCACTTCATATTCTTTTGACAACAAACTCTTCACTTTTATTAACACTAGCTTGCACTTTAAGATTATCTAGTGCACAGATTCTAGAGGTAGACAAACTGAGCCAGAATCCCAGTTTTGAATCGTACTGGTTATGTGACCTTGGGTAATTCACTTAACCTCTTTATACCTTTATTTCTTTAAAATAAGTACCAGAATAATACCTACCCTCATACAGGGGGGTGTTGTGAGGATCAAATGAGATAAAACATGTAAAGTGCTTTGAATATTGACAGCACACAGCAATAAATGTTAGATATTAGTATCTAGTTCAGACTTTTTTTTAATTTAAACTTTTTATTTAAAATAATTGTAGATTGACATGAAATTGTAAAAAAGCAACACACAGAGATTCAGTTTACCCAGTTACCCCAATGATAACATCTTGCACAACTATAGTATTGATACAATGCCACAATTAGGATACTGACATCAATACAACCAAGTTACAAAATAATTCCATCAGCACAAAGATCCCTTCTGTTGTCCTTTAATAGCCTCTTACCTCTCATCTCTACCTCCAATCTCCATCCTCTGACCTCTACCCATCTTTAATCCCTGGCGACAACTAATCTATTCTCCATTTCTATAATTTTGTCACTTCAAGAATTTTACATAAATGGAATCATCAGTATGCAAACTTTCCAATTTTACATAAATGGAATCATCAGTATGTAAACTTTCCAATTTCATTCATTTTGGCTCTTTATTATTTCCTTCCTTCTGCTTATTTTGGGTTTAATTTGCTCTTATTTTTCTAGGTTTTGAAGAGGGAGCTTTTATTATTAATTTGAGACATTTCTTTATTCTACTGTATGCATTTTAGTGCTATAAATTTCCTTTTCAGCACTGCTTTAGCTGTGTTCCAAAAATTTTGGTATGTTTTATTTTCATTTACTTCAAGGTATTTTTTTTTTAAGATTTAACTTTATTTATTTTTGGCTGCATTGGGTCTTTGTTGCTGTGTGCGGGCTTTCTCTAGTTGTGGCGAGTGGGGGCTATTCTTCACTGCGGTGCACGGGCTTCTCGTTGCGGTGGCTTTTCTTGTTATGGAGCATGGGCTCTAGGCGCGTGGGCTTCAGTAGTTGCAGCACATGGGCTCAGTAGTTGTGGCTCGCCAGCCCTAGAGCACAGGCTCAGTAGTTGTGGCACACGGGCTTAGCTGCTCCACGGCATGTGGGATCTTCCTGGACCAGGGATTGAACCCGTGTCCCCTGCAATGGCAGGCAGATTCTTACCCACTGTGCCACCAGGGAAGTCCCTACATCAATGTATTTTTTAAAAACTTCCCTTGAGATTTCCTACCTGACTTATGGATTATTTAGAAGTAGGCTGTTTAGTAGTATCCAGATATTTGGAGACTTTCCTGTTAACTTTTTGTTATTGAGTTCTAGTTTGATTCCACTGTGGTCAGAGGACATACTGTTTGATTTCAATTCTCTTAAATTTACTGAGGTTTTATAGCTCAGGATACAGTCTATCTTGCTGTATGTTCCATGGGTTGTTGAAAAGAATGTGTATTCTGCTGTTATTGGTGGGAGTATTCTGTAAATGTCTCAAATCCTATTGGTGTTGTTGATATTTTGAATTTTGTTGAAAATTGGGGTGTTGAAGTCTCCAACTGTAATTGTGGATTTGTCTATTTCTCCTTTCCAGTTATATCAGTTTTTGCTTCACATATTTTGTAGCTCTGTTGTTTGGTGCATACATATGTAGGATTGCTATGTCTCCTTGGTAGACTGATACTTTTATCATTATATAATGTCCCTTTCTACCTCTGATAATTTTCTTGGCTCTGAAGTCTACTTTATCTGATATTAATATAGTCAATCCTGCTTTCCTTTGATTAATATTTGCATGATCTATCTTTCCATTTTTTTACTTTCAACCTGTCTGTATTATTATATTTGATGTTTCTTGTAGACAGCATATTTCTAAATATGTCAGTCTCTAACTTTAATGTAAATGTCAATACGTTAGGGCTTAACTCTGCCATTTTTCTGTTGGTTTTCTCTGTTTTTCAACTCTTTATTTTTCCTGATTTCATTGGTTACTTGAATATTTTTTAGAATTTAATTTTGATTTATCTATAGTGTTTCTGAGTGTAACTCTTTGTATAGATTTTAAGTGGTTGTCCTAGGTATTACATTATATATGCATAACTTATCACAGTCTACCAGTGTAAACATTTTACCAGTTTGAGCAAATTATAGAAACTTTACCTCCCTTTATGTTTTTTATAAAAGAATTGTTTAAAATATTTCTTCCATATGCATTTTGAACCACATCAGTGTTATAATTTTGTTTCAACCATTGAACATAATTTAGAAAACCCAAGAAGCAAGGAAAACTACCATATTTATCCATATTTTTCCTTTTCCATTGTTCTTTCTTCCTTCTTGATGTTCCAAGATGCCTTCTTTTATCATTTCCTTTCTGTTTAGAGAACTTCCACTAGCCATTCTTTTAGGGTAGGTCTTGCTGGTGACAAATTCTCTTAGTTTTGCTTCATCTGAGAACATCTTGATATCTCCTTCATTCTTTTTTTAAAAATTTTAATTTATTTATTTTTGGCTGCAATGGGTCTTCCTTGCTGTGCACGGGCCTTCTCTAGTTGCGGCGAGCTGGGGCTACTCTGTTGCGGTGCACGAGCTTCTCATTGCGGTGGCTTCTCTTTGTTGTGGAGCATGGGCTCTAGACATGCAGGCTTCAGTAGTTGTGGCATGTGGCTCAGTAGTTGTGGCTCACGGGCTCCAGAGCACAGGCTCAGTAGTTGTGATGCATGGGCTTAGTTGCTCTGCAGCATGTGGGATCTTCCCAGACCAGGGCTCGAACCTGTGCCCTCTGTATTGGCAGGCGGATTCCTAACCACTGCACCACCAGGGAAATCCCTCTCCTTCATTCTTGAAGGATATTTTCACTGAGGCTGTGATTTTGGATTGACAGTTCTTTCAGCAAACAAAATCTATTGTGCAATTTCCTTCTGGTCTCCATGGTTTCTCACAAGAAATCTGCTGTCATTTAAATTATTTTCCTCCTGTAGGTGAAGGGTTTCTCTCACTGCTTTCAAGATTTTTTTTTCATTGTTTTTAGTTTTCAGAAGTTGACTATGGGGACTTCCCTGGTGGTGCAGTGGTAAGAATCCACCTGCCACTGCAGGGGACATGGGTTCAAGCCCTGGTCAGGGAAGATCCCACATGCCACGGAAAAACTGAGCCCATGCACCACAACTACTGAGCCTGCACTCTAGAGCTTGCAAGTCACAACTATTGAGCCCATGTGGCACAACTGCTGAGCCCACACATTGCAACTACTGAAGCCCACATGCCTAGAGCTCGTGCTCCGCAACAAGAGAAGCCACCGCAATGAGAAGCCCGTGCACCACAATGAAGAGTGGCCCCCACTCGCCACAACTAGAGAAAGCCTGAGCACAGCAACAAAGACCCAATGCAGCCAAAAACTAAAAAAAAAAAAAGAACATGATTTGTCTTGATGTGGATTTCTATGGATTTATCTTCTTTGGGTTTTTCCAAGCTTCTGAAATCCATAGGATTATATTTTTTGCCAAATTTGGGGAGTTTTCAGCTATTATTTCCTCAAATAATTCAGCCCCATCTTTTTTCTCCTCCCTTTCTGGGATGCTTATGACACAAATTTTAGAGCTTTTGTTATAGTCCCATTTGTCCCTGAGGCTCTGTTAATTTTTTTCCCGTCTATTCTCTCTCTGTTGTTCGGACTGGGTAATTTCTATTGTCTGTCTTCAGGTTCATTGATTTTTTCCTCTGTCTCCTCCATTTTGCTGTTGAGCCCATCCTTTGAATTTTTAATTTTGGTTACTGTATTTTTCAGCTCCAAAATTTTCATTTGGTTCTTCTTTACATCTTCTATTTACTTTTTAAGACTTTCTATTTTTTCACTTGTTTCAAGCATGTTCATAAGTGGTTGCTGAAGTGTTTTTAGGATGGCTGCTTTATAATTTATGCCAGATAATTCTGATATCTCTGTCATCTCAGTGCTGGCATCTTTTTCTTGTCTTTCTTCATTTAAGCTGAAATGTTCTCGGTTCTTGATATGACAAGTTATTTTCAGTTTAATAGTTGACATTTTGTGTACTATGCTATAAGACTCTGGATCTTATTTAAACCTTCTGTTTTAGCCAGCTTATTTTGATAAAGTGCTGGCAGGGGAAGGGGAAGGTGCCACCTTGTTACTGCCTGGTAAGGCAGAAGTCCAGGTTCTCCTCTCAAAATCCACTGACACTTGAGGCCATAGGGACTCTTCATTTTTGCTGGGAAGGGATGGAAGTTCTGGCTCCCCACTAGGCCTCCCATCCTGCTGGGAGAGACAGAAATGCCTTTATTTCTCCCTACATTGCCTCCATTGACACTGCTGAAGAGGGGGTTGTCATCATTAATGCTGCGTTGTGGTGAAAGACCTGACCCTTCACTAGGCTTTCTCTGACACACCCCAGCAAGGAGTAGGAAGGGTGTCTCATTACTGCCCAGTGGAGATGAAAGTCTTGACTCCCTATTTGGCCTTCTCTGACAATACCCCAGGTGGCTACCTCATTACAGCTGGGTGAGTGTGGAAGTCTGGGCTCCCTGCTTGGCCTTTGCTGCCATGAGTGGGGATGACACCACAGGTTTTTTGTTTTTTATTTATTTTTTGGTGTTTGTCTGGAGTAGAGCAGTTGTTGGGTAAAAGTTTTCAGTCTTGTTAGTCTTTCCTGGTCCTGTGACTATAAAGAGAAGACTTTTGTTGGGGCTTTTTTTTGGTCTGCCCATGTTGGCATTTTGGGTTTCTGGCTTCTTCAGCACCAAGTTTGAGATATATGAGGCAAAAAGGAAAACCCAAGGAACTCACCACTGTGTTGTTCCTTGGGTCTGAGCCAGTTTGTCTTCTTCTCTTCGCCTTCCAGAGTCATTTTATGTTTGTTTTGTATATAATTTTCCAAGGTTTTTAGTTGTTCTTAGCAGGAGGAATAGGCAAAAGTACATATATTCCATCTTCCTGTAAATGGAATATCTCCTCCTTTATTACATGAAAACAAATGACACTCAAACAAGGGGAAAGAACTTGCCAAGGCCACTTAGATAATTAATAGGTTGCTGACTTACTGCCTGTTATTTTGTCTTCTCCTACAAGATTGAATATTTTAAACACAGGTATTATATCTTTTTATTTTTATTTTTTTAAATAAATTTATTTATTTTTGGCTGCACTGGGTCTTCATTGCTGCTCCCGGGCTTTCTCTAGTTGCAGCAAGCGGGGGCTACTCTTCGTTGTGGTGCGTGGGCTTCTCATTGAAGTGGCTTCTCTTGTTGCAGAGCACGGGCTCTGGGCACGTGGGCTTCCGTAGTTGTGGCACGTGGGCTTCCATAGTTGTGGCATGTGGGCTCAGTAGTTGTGGCTCGCAGGCTCCAGAGCACAGGCTCAGCAGCTGTGGGCCCAGCTGCTCTGCGGCATGTGGGATCTTCCCGGACCAGGGCTCGAACCCACGTCCCCTGCATTGGCCGGCGGCCTCTCAATCACTGCGCCATCAGGGAAGCCCGGTATTATATCTTTTAAAAAAATTTTTTGGTCTCTATTAAAGTACCAATTTCATTTCTCTATACTTGGTAATTATAATTTATTAATGCTTACTATGTGACAGACTCTGGGCTGAATGCTTTGCATGCATTTTCTCAATCCTCACAAGAACTCTGCAATACAAATATTATTTTTCCCATTTTAAACATGAAGAAACTGAGGCCCACGAAGGTAAGATAACTTAAATAAGTCACATAGCTGGTAAGTGTCAGGGCTGGGGTCAGCCTACCATAATAGCCTGCCTTTGTAGGCTTCCAATAAGTCCTTGCCTAATAAAAGATGGCCCCAGGGGAAATCAGTGAAAATTAGCTATAGAGCAGGTTCGTTGAGAAGAAAGAGCTAAAACTGAAATATGTGACTTTAGTTCAGTGGGTGACACTTCAGATGGTAGACTCACAGAAGAAATTAAAAATATGCCCAAAATAAGGTTTGATATTTTAATAAGTCATTGATATTGCCCATTAGCTGAGTCCCATCATTGCAGAAAAAGGATGTCAGGTCTGACTAATGCTCACTAACCAAAAATATAGTATGTGATCCCATGAATGCTATTCTTCTTGAAAGAATAGAAAGAAATTTTTTAAAACGTGAAATCATGAGTAGAACTCTAGGCCACAGTCCCTGGGACCCTTCTTTAGTCTTAGGGCATCAGGGACTGATGAGAATATTGAGTATCTCATCCTAAACCAATGTGGTAGATTTCAGAGGAGGGAGAAGTTTCGTTACTGAGGAGACAGCCTATCCACAAGACCCATAAGTTTTTGAAAAATTAAATCACTTAAGTTCCAGATATATCACAATGGGTAACAGGAGCAATTAAAGGAAGGGGTCCATGTGCAGACCCTGTATTTATTTATTGCTTCTTCAGGGGTTCAGAGACTCAGGTCCTACCTGAATAATCCCAGTCAGCAACGTTGTGGATGCCACCACACTCAAGGATTTGTTATAGTTCTCAAAGAAGGAGAGGTTAGAAAAGTCATCCTTGATGAAAGTTCCCAGTATTAGGTGGCCACTGTTGAATGGGTACGTCCTCAGGACATTGATGGTCAGAGCACTCACAAGGAAGAATGTACCTATGAAAGAAAATGTTCAGGCAGAAGGTGAGGTTTTAAGTCCAGGTAAACTGACAGATATTGACAAAAGCAAGGCATGGCCTGATGTTTTGCCCTTGATCTGACACACTTTTCTTATTTGAAAGTGGCCACCAAGAAATAAGAAAGAGCAGGGAAAAGAACTCTGGCTCCATGTACTGTAACCAAGTCACAAGTTTTAGATCTTGGTGGTCTAGGTATTAACCTCTTTGCATCATGGGCATATGGAGTAGGATTAAAGAGAAATTGACTAGAAATGTATATCAGGCTCAGCCACTGTGCCTGTTCTTAGAAACGGTAAAAAATGAGATGGTGGTGAAAGGATCAGAAAACAAAGCTAATCAATAATAATAATAAGAAAAATAATACCTAACACTTATGAAGGATTTAATAGGTGCAAAATGACATGGAGCTAAACCTATTTCAAATATAATTTCATTTACTTCTACTATCAACATAAGGAAGGCAAAGGAAAATCTTACCTTTAAAGTACCTAACAGAAACAAAACTCTAGTAGCCCTTGTTATCAGTATTTGGAAATGATTGTAATGTGCTCTGGGAACTTGGAAAAATGGGAATAAAATAGTTCTCTTAGTGTTCAAATGTAAAATCAACACATAATAGATTTTAGTAAAGATATGGAATATTGTCCTTAAAAAAGGCAAAGGAGCACTCAACAGAATGGGATGGCAACTAGACTGAATATACAAACACACATGCAGAAAAACTGTGACAGTCAGAATGGTCACTGTTGGTTGCTTGGTCAGTTATACAGTGTGGAAGCTCAGAAAAAGGCACTTTACTGAGTGAATGTTGGCGATGCCCTTCTGAGACTCTCAGGGCATTTTGTGATTTGATTTCTGTATAGGTTCACCTAGGGGAAGTAATTGTGCTAATTATATGACCTTCAGCTAGTCTGGTCTCTGTAACAGTCATTTCCAATTATAAATTAGTAGATGGACTTTTGACTTAGGGAAGAAAAGTGCTTATCCTGTGGGTTTGAGTGCTTTGATTACTATGACAGCATTTTCTCAATGTAAATTAATAATCTGACATGATTATTGTTATTATTATTTTTTTATATAAATTTATTTTATTTATTTATTTATTTTTGGCCACATTGGGTCTTCGTTGCTGCATGCAGGCTTTCTCTGGTTGTGGTGAGCAAGGGCTACTCTTTGCTGCAGTGCACAGGCTTCTCATTGTGGTGGTTTCTTGTGTTGCGGAGCACAGGCTCTAGGCGCGTGGGCTTCAGTAGTTGTGGCACACAGGCTCAGTAGTTGTGGCTCGCGGGCTCTAGAGTGCAGGCTCGGTAGTTGTGGCACACGGACTTAGTTGCTCTGCGGCATGTGGGATCTTCCCGGACCAGGGCTCGAGCCCGTGTCTCCTGCAGCAGGCGGATTCCTAACCACTGCGCCACCAGGGAAGTCCTGACATGATTATTATAAATCAGGTCCACAGATTTTGGTTATTATGGGTACAGGTGAAAAGTGGATCCACTCTAGGAGTTTTGGCAAAATCATTTCTGGATCTTCCAGGTTGAGGATAGTCAGATTCCAACATGTGGTAATTTCACCAAGAAAAGTACCTCTTGTCTTATAATTCCTTTAATAGCTTGCTGGCCTGTTTGTCTGGTGGTGACATTAATAATATCACAAAAGAAGTGTTCAATTTCTAAAATCTGAACACTAACCCTATGGATAGAATATCCATCTCCTGCCTCCTTTCTTTCTACCTTAAACATAGCTTTAGCTTGGGTTCCTTAGCAATAAGTAAATGACTGAGATGGAGACTTCATCCACCTCCTGTGGTTCCGGCACTGAACTCACCAATGGACATTTGACGACATGATCCCCAAATTCCATAAATTATTGAAGCACAGAAAGCTGCATAAGAGACATTGAGAGGAGGAATCAGTTGCCTTGCCAGCAAACCAAACGTCAGGCCTGAAACGCAAGATACTTTAAGTAAGCAAAGGTAGCCTGGCTTTTAAAAGTCACCTGAAATAAAAACTGTAAAGAATATTTAAAATAAAAATGACCCATGTATACAGCTGACTATGGTGACAGAATCCCTTGGCATACAGCCCTTAATTAGTACTTTTTATTACCTCCTTTGATTTCTAACTTCTCTTCCTTTTTTTTTTTGCTGTATACAGGCCTCTCACTGCTGTGGCCTCTCCCGTTACGGAGCACAGGCTCCGGACATGCAGGCTCAGCGGCCACGACTCAGGGGCCCAGCCGCTCCGCGGCATGTGGGATCTTCCCGGACCGGGGCACGAACCTGTGTCCCCTGCATTGGCAGGCGGACTCTCAACCACTGTGCCACCAGGGAAGCCCTTCTCTTCCTATTTTACCACAAGTTTTTACACATCAATTCTAAACCATAGGCTTAAACACCTTTCACTGTGAGGCCTTCATGCAAATCATGGAAAGCAAACATCACAGCAATAAGACCTTTAATTCCAACAGCTCAGAAGAGCCCCATTCTTACCCCCAGTCTAGTACAAGAAGGCCCTAGGAATCCTCCAGGGCTGGAGAAAAAGCTGGAGAACAGGCAAGGATTGTCACACTTAACTGACGTGACTCCAAGTTGGTATGTGTTGTCTCTCTTCCATATGCCAACCACTCCAGTCTCTTCCTTCAGCTCCTTCTTCAATACTTACTTTCTTTTCTAAGAAGCACCATGAGAATTTGGAAATTTTGAGGCAAATGGATTAACATGCATGGTGTCATCCTTTGACATCTCAAGTCCACAGCTCCTGCCCTGAGGGACTCTCTTCAATTTACATCATACCAGTGTGCTCATCAGAAATCAGTTATGAGTCCAGTGAGCCAATTTATTGCCTTAAACGAGCAAGGCTTTTTTTAATGGAAAAGTTTAAACTTATTGAAAAATAGAGTATAATGAACCCCCAAGTACCCATCACGTACTTCAACGATGGTCAACTCATGGCCAATCTTGTTTCATCAATGCCCCCATTCCTCTCCCATACCATATTCTTTTGAGGCAAATCCAAAACACTAAATCATTTCATCTGTAGATATTTTCAGTATATATCTTTTTTAAAAACACCCTCTTTTGAGTACAATACCATCATCACACCTAAGAAATTATTAATGGTTCTTTAACATCATCAAATATCCAGTCAATGTTCAAATTTCCCTGATTTCTCATATATGGTTGTACTGGTAGACTACCTCTAAGATGATCTACAATGGCTAATTGGTATTCATGCCCTTTTTTGAGCTCCACCCCTAAAGCATGAAATAACTTACTTCTAATAAATAGGCTACAACAAAAATGATAAGATGTCACTTTTGAGATTAGGTTGCAAGAAGACTGTGGCTTCTGTCTTGGTTGCTCTCTGGCTCTCTCTTTCATTCAGGTCATCAGCTGCCAGAGTTAACTTCAAGGGTGTGTGACCTATATGCAATCACATAGTGCCCTGGGCTTAGAAAGCCTCCACACTTGGCTTAATGCTCTACTCTGACCATCTTGAAATTCTGGATAATTTCTGAACTAGGGACTCTGCATTTTCACCTTGCACTGGGCCCCACACATGGTCCTACCAGCAGCCATGTTGTGAGGACACTCAAGCAGCCCATGTAGAGGCTCACATGGCGAGAAACCCAGGCCTGCCAGCAAACACGGGTGAGCCTGGAAGCTGATCCTCCAGCCTCAGTAGAGCTTTGAGATAACTGACAACTTGACTGCCACCTCATGAGAGACCTTGAACCAGAGGTATGGTGGGTTTGGGGGTGATCTTTTAAAAAAGTCATTTGCTATTATATGTTGTGTTTTGTTTTGTTGATGTTGTTGTTGTTGTGCTTTCTTTTACAATCTTTGTGTTTATATCAAATTAGGTCCTCACATTAGTAGATATGTCTCTTGAGTCTTGTAATTTATAGGTTCCCCTTCCACATATTTTCCCTAAGCAAGCCTCAGTTGACTGCAAGTAACAGAAAACCTGATCAAATCAGCTTGAGCAAAAGAGAAGAATTTTTTTTGACTGCACCGCCCAGCTTGCGGGATCTTAGTTCCTCAACCCAGGCTTGACCCCAGGCCCTGGCAGTGAAAGCACTGAGTCCTAACCACTGGACCACCAAGGAATTCCCAAAATAGGAAATTTATTAAAAGAGGACAAAGGTCAGTTGGGCCTCATCAGAGACTGGAAACAGAACTAAAAAGCCATCAGGATCCAGGCAGCTATTTCCCCATTCTCTTTGTCTCCAGGCTTACATAGTCTCCTGTCTTTGTTTCCAGTTTGGGGGCCATTATGAACAATACTGCTATGACTATTCTTGTACATGATTCCAGGTGCACAGATGTATAAATTCCTCAAGATGATACACCCTGAAGCATAACTGCTGGGGCATTTACCAGAATATGCCAAACTGTTTTCCAAATGGTTGTACAATTTACATTCCCACCAACACCGTATGACAATTCCCATTATCTACATCTGTATTAGCACATGATACTGTCAGAATTTTTATTTTAGTGTGTATGAGTTAGTTAATTTCCACTTCTACTTCATTGATTACCAATAATGTTGATCAGTTTTACTTAGCAGTTCCTTACAGATATGTAGGAATATATATATTATAGATTTAAGTCCTTTGTTGGGTATTCCATGGTTTGCTTTTCAACCTTCATCATGTCTTTGAATAAACAGAAGTTCTTAACTTTTATTTAATTCAACTTAACAGTCATTTCCTTTTAGGCTAGTGCTTTTTGTGTCTTGTTTAAGAAACATTTTCTACCTCACGAACATGAAGATATTCTCCTATATTATTCCAAAAACATCTTTATAGTTTTATCTTTCATATTTGGGTCTTTAATCTAAAAGGAATAGATTTTTGTGTATGCTGTGAGGTAGAGGTCTACAAATTGATTTTTTTCATATAAGTATTCAATTGTTTCACATCATTTTTTAAAAGTCTGTTTCTACAGTGACACATCTGATACAAACCATGCAACATATAAATGTGTGACCCTTTTCTGTTCCACTGGCCTAATTGTCTAAGTCTGTAATACTACACTGTTTTGTTTGTTTTGTTTTTATATAAATTTATTTATTTTTGTCTGTGTTGGGTCTTCATTGCAGCATGCAGGCTTTCTCTAGTTGTGGCGAGCAGGGGCTACTCTGTTGTGCTGCGCGGACTTCTCATTGAGGTGGCTTCTCTTGTTGCAGAGCACAGGCTCTAGGCACGCAGGCTTCAGTAGTCATGGCACGCGGGCTCAGTAGTTGTGACTCACGGGCTCTAGAGTGCAGGCTCAGTAGTTGTGGCGCACGGGCTTAGCTTCTCTGTGGCATGTGGGATCTTCCCGGACCAGGGCTCGAACCCGTGTCCCCTACATTGGTAGGCGGATTCTTAACCACTGCGCCACCAGGGAAGTCCACCACACTGTTTAATTACTGTTTTTAGTAATTAGTCTAGTAATAGTTTTGTAATAAATTTAGCAATCCCCATTTTTATTGTGAAATATATAAATAGAAAGTTCATTAAAATAGATGTTGAGCTTAATAAATATTTATAAAACAAACACCCATGTTATCCCCACCCAGATCTTTAATCACAACTCCATCCCTCCCCACAGAGGTATTCATTATTTTGACTTTTGTGATAATAATTTCTTTGCTTTTCTTTATAGTTTTACCACTGGTATACATATCCCTACAACAGTGTAGTTTAGTTTGTCCACTTTTGAACTTTATATTAATGGAATTACACTGTATACAATTTTTATTTCTGCTTATTTTTCTTATTATTATGTATATAAGCATCTTCCATGTTGCTGTGAGTTGCTTGAGAGTGCTCATTTTCCTTCTGTGTATTCCGATATATGTATATATGAATGCTTATTTATTCTTTCTACTTTTGATGGACATTATCTTAAACATTATAACTTTATATTCAGTCTAGATAGCTGGAGGAGCAAATCCTCCCATGTTGCTCTTCAAAATAATTTGCCTATTCTGGGAAAATGCTATCTTTCAATTAATTTAGGCCCTTATTAATATTTCTCAATAAAGTTGCATATTTTCTCTATAGAGGTCTTGCACATCATTTCTTAGTTTCATTACAATTTACTTCATATTTACTATGCTTTGGTAAATGGTATTTAAAATTGTTTTTTCACTGTCTGTTTCCTGCAGGTATAAAGGAATGTAATTGATTTTTATTTACTCATCTTATATCCAGCAACTTTGATAAAATCTTATTAATTCTATTAATTTATCTGTAGATTCTTTTGAATTTTCTACATTAAAAAACACATCTCTATGGGCTTCCGTGGTGGCGCAGTGGTTGAGAGTCCGCCTGCCGATGCAGGGGACACGGGTTCGTGCCCCGGTCCGTGAGGATCCCACATGCCGTGGAGCGGCTGGGCCCGTGAGCCATGGCCGCTGAGCCTGCGCGTCCGGAGCCTGTGCTCGGCAACGGGAGAGACCACAGCAGTGAGAGGTCCGCATACCGCAAAAAAAAAACAAACCTATGAATGAAGTTTTATTTCTTGCTTTGCAATTCTTTACCCTTATATTTTTTTCCCTTGCTTTAATACACTGCCTGTGAATCCCAGTATAATATCGAATAGCCCTATTTACTCTTTTTTTTTTTTTGGCTGCATTGGGTCTTTGTTGCTTCACGCAGGCTTTCTCTAGTTGCGGTGAGCAGGGACTACTCTTCGTTGTGGTGCATGGGCTTCTCATTGCAGTGGCTTCTCTTGTTGCAGAGCACAGAGTCTAGGCGCACGGGCTTCAGTAGTTGTGGCATGCGGGCTCAGTAGTTGTGGCTCACGGGCTCTGGAGTGCACGCTCAGTAGTTATGGCACACATGCTAGTTGCTCCACATCATGTGGGATCTTCTCGGACCAGGGCTCAAACCCGTGTCCCCTGCATTGGCAGGCAGATTCGTAACCACTGCACCACCAGGGAAGTCCC